TATATTCTCATAGTATGATGACCTTGCTTTATATGAAGTAGCAGCATATGATGCTGTATCCAAATATCTTGCTATTAAAATCCATGAGTCTTTTTCCCATTGCAGATCTGGATTATCTCGATCATATTCAACTCATCATATTTCACCTCTAATAGAGGATAAAGATTTTATTCCTAGTCGTACTTCTACCTCATATAGTGAACATTCTTATCATGTTTCTATTTCATAGGTTTGTGAACGTGATGAGAATAATCATCATGTTGATAAATTGGTAAAAAAATAAAGAAAATATAGTTAAAGGTGTTTATAACACAAAAGATGGAGATATAACTGAGTCAGAAATGGCATTTTCGATATGAATAAAATAGATTTTAGCCCAGGTTCTTTGGCTAGACATCAAGTCAAAGAAGAGTTTAATCTTCCAAGATGGGAATTTTATAAGTTTTCATCACATCATAATGTTTTATTTCCTTTTGTTCACGGGTGACCTCCTACGATAATTATTTCTTACCTCTACACGTTGTTCAACAGAACTATATTTTCTTTTTCTCGTCATTAATATGTCAGAAAGCGAAAAATAATTTCACACAGATTTACACAAGAGGCAAAAGAAGTTGGAAAATAGAAGACTCAAAATACAAAAAGCGCAAGAAATGAAATAACTGATAGCCAAATAACAATCATATATTGTTAAGAAAGATACCTGCTTCCAGATGTGCTTTCTGAAGTAGACATTCTTAACTAATTCTCTCGATCATCAACGCACTTTGGAAACTTTAACGCACTTTCGAAACTGTTGAAACAGGTATAAAACAAATTTATATTATTAAATAAGATGTGGTAATGTAATTCAAAGAATGTAGGAAACAGAAAGTGCACAAGAAAATGGTGCCCCTAACTGAGAGCATGCAATTAGGCATTCTTTTCATATTCCTATTATTTTGACTACACACAACTGGCGTTTTGTAGATTAGAGTATTACTACTATTATAGTGATGTCTTCACTGAAAGAATTCCATACTAATCTTAAGCTTATAGTTTCCACTTCTAATTAAGTCCATGCCAATCTGATTCCTCATTAATTTTCCACTGTGTCACCCAAGAAACCAGACAAATTATACCTAAATTTTTTGCACTTCACATCAGCAGGAAAGATAATTTAAAATCCATAGTGAAGTGGATAGGGAGGGGTTCAGTAAAGAACCTATTCATTTTCCAAGCTAAAAAAAAACTACAAACCTTTTAAAAGCCTAACGTTAGGGGTAAGCATTGGCTAATGAAGGCCCGTATGAACTTCAACGAGTTGCACTTTCCAATAAGGCCAATGTAAATCTTTACTATTCTCGCTTGGCTTTACCAATTCTTTTCTACAATGAAATAGAAAGAGGCACTGTTAAAAAATCCAAAGCTCATTAGCAAAATAGATGCTCAGACAAGAATAGGATTGGTCATATAAAGAAGATCAGTTATAACTTATGGATTGGTCATCAAGTAAAATATCCAGATCCAAATTAAACAAACATATCAAAACAATTTCCTTTGGTAACTATACCAAAAAAAAAAAAAGAGAAATGCCCCTGTAAATAAAAACTAATCAGGGCTATCAAAGTAAGAGTAAACAATTATCAGCAAAAGTTAGTCAAGGCACAATCAGTATTTTGTTGGTCGTGAATTTCAAACACAGAATATCTTGAGCAGACTCTAGACCATGTTTACACACCAAAAAAACCACAAAAACGATGGGGAACATATAAGAGTAATTTTAGCAGCTTTCAAGTCAGTAACTTTAGCAACTTCTTATGAATGGAGTAAGAAAAAACTATCAAAAAGAATAGCAATTACCCTCCAGCTATCAAAGCCAATTAAGCCTTAAAAAGGGTAGAGAGCATCCAGTACTAAAAGAAAAACCCATGCAACAAACAAATCAAATACACCTCAAAATTTCAGAAAATAAATGTGAAATTCAGGTAGTAAGAAATAAGGACTTCACAGTTTGGATCAAATTGATGTAAAGAACAGAACCAAATTCGCAATATATAAAGAAAAAAAGAAGGAATAACAATAACAATAACAAAAGTACCCTTTAGAGAGAATCATCAAAAAGTTGGTAAATCTGGGAGGCCATTGAGAGGAAAACCAAACCCACCAATCCAGAGAGAAGAAAGAAAAATAAAAAGAGCGGAGAAAGGGAATAAAGAGAGGCAAGTTGAGAGAAAGCTCTCAAAGATGTGTTAATAGAGTGATATGGAGAGATAGAAAGAGAAGTGAAATGGCAGCAGAAGAAGAAGAACTAATTAGAAATTCTGCGGGTATTAGTACTCCTAAACTCTGACTAATACCACTCCTAATTTCTATCAAAACTTGAAGCTCATAGAGTTCAAATACCAGATTATATGCATATTCTCCAAAGGTCACCACAGAGTTCAAAGTTGATGTTAGCAAATAAGATCCACAGGCAGGTCAAATCATAAACTTGAATACTGTGTATTACACTAAGACGGTTGGTTGAGCCAACACAGATTCAGGGGAAGTTTAATTCTCTAAAACAACTCCAAATTTAGGTCAGCCTCTAACATATTCTTCTTCGGATATGGAAGCAAAAACAACATAAATTTAACAAAAAACATGGTCCTTAGGCTAAACGCTTTCTTATATATAAACACAATTTCAGCAAGAATACAGAAACTTCAACTAAATAAGACATACCGGAGCTTGAAATCAAAATTTGTGTAAATCTAACCTTTTTGAATTCTTATATTACATAATCTATAACCATCAAAATTAAAAGGTTGAAGTTTACAATTCTAAAGTAACAAGCCCTTTTCACCATTTTGTAATCAAACCAAAATGAAACTGTGTTAGAATTAAGAATTGTATTAGGGAGTGTAATCTATCGAAAAAGAACATGAGCATTTCATTTGTAGTGAAATAATCGCACCTTGCTAATTAATAAAATATTTAGCTATATAAGTAGAATAATTTCTATTAGATTGAAACTTAAGAAGAGGAAAAAATCTTAATAAATTCAAAATCAGGGGCATCATTTCATGTATAGGGGTTCTGATGTGGTGCATGTCTTAAAGTGAAGTGCAGAATTGATGAAGTCATGCGAGTTGAACACATGTGAGTTAAACACATCTATACAGATCATACATGCATGAAATCCAACGGAAAAAGCACCAGATTTTAATCAAAAATTTGGGTTGACAACTGAGCCTAGCATTTCAAAGAAATCATAGTACGTCTCTTACACATTGGTACAAATCATACATGCATACAATCCAACCTAACAAACACCAGATTTCAAATAAAGATTTGGCTTTACAAATTAATTACGCAGACTCACTTTTAAAAAAAGCTTATTTAGACCAAAATTTAAACACCTTTCATGCAATTAGAGGACAGAAACTTTAAATAGGAAACATATATTTTTCAGATTCTTCGAACTAAATCCGATAAGCCTATCAATAAGGAAGTGCTTTTACCTCATTCTGATGTCCATTTATAATTCTAACGCATCTCGATTTCTGTTGCTTTAGCAGCCAAACAAGTTAATCAATGGATTGGATTTCCTTCCCCTTATCGTTCTTCTCCTCACTCGACCCTTTTCCCTTCTCTCTTTCTTTTAGCTTTTCTTCCTCGTCCCTCTCTTTTGGTTTCTGTAATTAATCTCTATAGAGGAAGGTACATAAAGAGGATGATGGTGAATGATGGAAATGAAGGTCGGTGAATCAGGATTTGGGAATTGTTGGTCAGAAGATGAAGATTGGAGAACGAAGAAGATGCTGGGAAGAAATTAGAATCAGGAGAATAGTCTCGATGGTTTCAGGAACTAATTTTATATTCATTGCTCCCACTGGAGACTGATTACATGAAGGAAAGAACTGGAGACATGAAAATTATTTTAAAAATAGAAGAAGGAGCGGTCCAATCACCTATCGCCACATCACCAATTTTGGGGGGAACTGGCAACAAACCGTGCTACAAAGTTGTATTCCCTTCTTATATTAAGTAGATCCAATATTTTCTAAAACTTTAAATTTTCAAAAAAGAAATTAATCTCTAAACTGTCTATAATACCCCCATTGACTTTGACTAAAACGGTCAAGTCTGTCAACACAGACGGAAGTAGATGATTTCCGTCAATTTTAGAGGAAAAAAATCAAAATAGATTTACTATGAATTAATATCACTAAATTATTTTGTCGCGGATCAAAACGTATTTTTGTCCATTTGTAACGGACTAATTATGAAGTTTAGTAATTTTTTAAAACAAAGATAAAGAGGTTGGACAAAATGAAGTTATTTTTTATTGTATCTTACAGTAAGTTACTGAATCTGATTGCTTTTTTTTTTTTCTAATTTTATATTTTGCCTAAATACTCAATATTTATCTATATCTGACGTATATTAGCATTTGTTTTTTGTTTTTTCTTTCCCGATGTGTAAAGGAGCACACGCGGGCAAAGTTTTATGCATCGTAGAACGAACCACATGTTACAGAAGAAAGTTGATTTCGAAAAAGTTGAAATAGAGATAAACCTCATGTAATTACCTATGGATTTTGCGAAAGAGACTTCTCACTGGATTATTACATCTAAATAAAGAATTTTTTTTTTTAAAAAAATTACTTATATATATTAATAAGGACCTAATCTATTACAATACATCTTATTGTATGTTAAATTATAGACATTTTACTGTATGCTAAATTATGGACTTTTACATCATTCCTGCTAACTTTAATCAGTTTACAAAAATTAAAACTCGCAAAAAATAACTTTATTTAGATATAGATGAGACAATCTCTTGAGTCTCAACCGGGAAAAGAAAGTGATGAAAATCGAGAGTAATCATTTCACAATTCGTGAGGACTTTTACACAATCTAAGCCAAACTTAGAAGTCTCTTTAAGCGCTAAAAGACATGTCATCGCTTCCGTTGAAAAAAATAAAGAATTTGACAATTTGAAATACCTTTGAAAAATAACAATTTTTTGGAGTAACATTGCAAGAAAAGGAAGGCTTTACACATAAGGTTCCTGAATATCCAAGTTCATTACAGAGAACATGTAAATGGGTAGGTCTGGTGCCTAGTGGTGCCCTGCAGATGATCAATGACAGAGTTCAGAAGGTCTGTCTAGGTTAAGTTGACGGGACATTTCTCGCGAGTAAGAAATTTTCTACGCCAAATTCTTTAATTATTATGTGTAATACCCCAAAAATGTGATGCACAAAATTCTCAGCAAATCTAACTCGAGAGTGTTCATTAGACCTACCAGATAACTTGGACCAACATTTGGACAAACCATTATCAGGTCACCCAAAAAAAAGCAGCTGTGCAGCAAATCTCCTACATTAGCGTAATTGATACATCCATTGAATAATTTACATCAGTGTTAGCACCCTAATAGCGAGTTTTGCATAAGTCTTAAAATGAGAAACTAGCAACCTCTTCGTCTTCATCCTCATCATTCTCCCCCTCGTCGTCCTCACTAATCCCGTCAAAGTTGAAATCTTCATCTTCCTCCTCTTCCAACTCTTCATCGTCCATGAGGCTCTTGGCTTTCTCGTCTCTGTCCTTCAATCCAGTATTCAGGACAACAGTTTCCCCTCTTGACTTCTCCATATCCTTCCTCAGACGATCCATATTCTCACGCATTCGTTGTTCCTCCAATTGCTGCTTTTCGACTCTCCTCTTGTCAAGTTCAGGCCTAGAGATCACAGCATCGTATTCAAATAATGTATTCAATCATATTCAGACAACTTACAATAATAAACGAGCTGGCAAATTCTATCTTATAGTTCCATCAGAATGGACCAAAGCCAAGAATCTTACTTGTAACTTTCCATGTATTCATTAGCACTGGCTTCAATAGTCTTGAAAAAGGCATCCATCCCAGCACCAGAAACCGCAGATACCCCAACAGATCTAAGATTCTTGTAGAACTCCTCCAATGACAGCGAGAGGCTTCGAGTCAGGGTGGACGTGTAAGAGTGATCTGAATCAAGTGCTGCATGAAATGCTTCAAAATCTTCCATCCACTGCAGTATGAATAACAATAATGCGTCAATATTTTACTGTGTCAAAAACATGATTAAAAACTGAGCAAACAAAAAAAAAAAACAGAAAAGACTTCACAAGGAACAATAGAGGACGAGAATAAACACAAGATAAGAAGAATAATACCATCCTACTTCAACTATAACTTTTGCTTTATAAAGGGATCATCATACTATCTCAAAACACTTGCTCTGAAAGAGCACAAATTCCCGCCCAGGCAGGCTCTCCTCCAGGGACTAATAGTAATACGGAAAGCAATCCCACCCAGCTTTAAATCCAGCAAAGATCAGAAAATACTCCTTGGGAGGCATGGTTTTACATTGACAGAAAATTGTAAAATTTACATCCTAAAAAGTTTAATTCAAGCAGCATACACTAAGACTAAAGTTCTTATTCCTAACCTCAGTCCAGTTATCAAACAAGTCCGGCAAGACTCAATCTCAGACTCGTCAGGTCTGCAAATTAGGTTGCATTAAAATGCCTCAAGGTTCAATTACAATTTACTCAACAGCATGGATGCAGACAATAAACAGTTAATCATTACCAAAAAATATACACAACATAATTGGCCGCAAACATCTTACAACCGCACTTAATTGAGACTCAAAACAAGAAAATAAACATGCAAGCAAATGAACATGATCTCAAACCTCCAAAGCAAACTGGTGTTGGGCTACATCAGTCTTATTAAATGCCAAAACAAGCGGTAACCGGGTCTTGTAGAGAATACTACATGCATAAAGCATGTTACTCATAAACGTAGCAGGACTGGTGGAACGTGGTGTATCAACAACATAAGCAATCACAGTGGGGAAGGTTGATGCAAAAGCTTCTGTAATGATTGCTCCAGAGGCAGACCAGGTGAAAATCTCAATCTGACCAGGAGTGTCAACCAAAACATAGTCTAACTGATCTGCTCGTCTCTCAATCATAGACACAACCTGCAGAACATTTGCAGAACCTAAATTTTAAACTTAAACAAGAAAAACAAAAGCAAACTAGATAAATGTATTTGAAGAGTAATATATGAAAATACGAGATATTAAAACTTTCTTAAGAAAATTGTACAGCAAGAAATTGGAGTGTCCATAAATGAAAAAGGAACAAAAAATTTGTACCAATATTCTACTGGAAACATCTAGTTGTCAAGATAAAGGATTGGCCAATACATAAAAGTCCACCATAAAATAATTGGAGTTACCCAAGTCCATCTTAGATTTTAAAATATGGTGCCAACAGGAGAAGAAGCATGGAGAAAAATAATTTGCAAACCTAAATTGCCTGTTGGGGACTATTTCCCTAATAACCTTGGTAATCATTCGTATAAATGAGTGTAATTATCACTGCCTTGCAAGAAAATAAGACAAGAAATTCGATCAATCAGCCTTACCTCATACTACAGAATATGGATATTTAAAACCTACAAATCCAGTGCAATTTAATAACTCTTCTAATTTTCCCTTCACATATACCCATTTTCCTTCAATTTAATCTAGCAAACCGTCTAAGACAAATTCCATACCACTAGAAGGATAAAACCATCTGCCATGAGTAACTAATATAAATGCTGGTACAAGCTACAACTAAAAACGTAATCAAGCAGATCTATAAAATGAGGGAAAGAGAGAGAGAGAGCCCAAAAGTTCCAACTCTAAGCCTTACCTCATCAAACTTAGTAGCAAATAAGTTAAGTGAGGTCAAAATGCCACCGTTTGGTCCAAGATTGAACTCCTTCATCACCTCCTTATATCGAACAGTATCTCTGATGTCAATATTCGCACCATATGGTAGAGTCATCACTGCTGGGTCAAGGTTTACCACATAGCCACGAATGTTTGACGCCATTGTGTGGCACACTAGGCGATTCATAAACGTTGTCTTCCCGCTTCCTAATGAAATATAAAAAGACCACAAAAATTTAAGAACATAATGTATCCTGATCCTTCAAATGAACAGAGGTAGATCATTACAAGATCTCACTTTTCATTTTGAAACGAAATTAACAGCTAAAGATAGATGCTATAAATTGATCATACCATCTAATGATGTAAGCTTGTGCTAATTATCAATTAAAGGGTCTAAACATACCTGCCATTCCAACAACAAGAATGACAACAGGTTTTGGCTTGAAGGCCGATGATGATTCCCCGATGTTCAATTTCTCCATTGACTTAGAAAGTCCATCGTTAATTTTTCCATCTGTCAAACATAAAAGCACAATTGCCTCAAGAATATAGAGTAAAACCTTCTGTCTGCATATATCTAAACAGATTCACAAATAACACCCTGCATACCTGAACCTGGACTTGCGTTCTCGTCAGTGCACATATCAGATGATGTATTTGCTGCAGGGTCCAGTTGCATTGATGTTACAGCATCATCTGATGCTTTTGCGACAACATCCATTTACAAAAACTGAAAAGGAGAGGAAACAATGTTGATGACAGATATTGCATTCTTTTACCGCTAGTAATTTGGTTTTAAACTACATCAAACACGGAATTGTGTTACACTATGCAGCTAGAAGGAAAATTCCACATACATCATTTGACAATAACATATTGGTAGATACACTATGCAGCTAGAAGGAAAATTCCACATACATCACTTGACAATAACATATTGGTAGATACACTATGCAGCTAGAAGGAAAATTCCACATACATCATTTGACAATAACATATTGGTAGATTCCCTATTTCAGTCTGTGAAGATATCTTAGTTTTAAAACAAGTGAGGCGTGTCGAGGAGATAAGGGGCTCGAGAGCCGAGGCGTGAGGCGTGAGGCGTGAGGCGTGAGCGAAAGCGAAAGCATCACGTATGCGAGCTGAACTCTGTGTGTGTGTGTGTGTGTGTGTGTGTGTGTGTGTGTGTGTGTATATATAACTGAAGTACTAAACAAGCAATTTCGACATCAAAAAGCTTTATTGAAATTTGCTGAAAATAAATGGAACAAATTTATCCTCCTAACTAGTGGTTAACTTAAATTTGATAAATTACTGGATCGAAGCTTCAGCACAATCACAAAGACAGAGCAGAGAGCACAACACACACAACACAGTAAATTGCAAAGACAAAATAAATAGAGGGGAGTCTCGCGGCAGTCGGCAGTCAGCACAAACGTGACAGACAGACAAAGTGTTAAGAGCCCCACACAATCGCACAACACACAACACACAACACATTGCAAGCCCAGATACAGATCAAACATTAAAATCAAATGGGTTCAGATTCAAAGCAGTTTAGGAGACATTTTATATACCTATTCAAATTCAATCATAAACTTTTCTCAAAGTCGAAATCAATTGGACAAACTTTTTTTTTTTTTTTTGGCACCCACAAGTGGAAGAGAAGAATAAGGAGAAGAACGAGAGAAAAAGAAGAAGAACCAGAGAAGACGAAAGAGAAGGAGGAGGAGGTGAATGAGAGAAGAAGGAGAAGAGCATACTTAATTCGTCGGGCCACCTTGTAGGAAGAAGTTGCAGAGCAGCAGCAAACGCGAAGAAGAAGAGGAAGAGAGACGGGAAATAAAGGATTTAGGGTAGTAATTTTTCTTTTTCAATTTTATTTTAAGAGCATGTGACTTGCACATGTTAAATTATTGGACTAATCTGTGAGCTAGCGCGGTGAGCGCATAACGCCTCAGCCTGAGGCGAGTGCATTTTGCGCATCCGGCTCGCCTCACGTAATCGCATCGAATCGATGTCAGTGCCACCTCTGAACGCCTCGTGCCTAGGTGCGCCTGAGGCGCACTGACAACTGATGGGTCCATATCCATCACCGAGACTGGATCGGCCAGCCAACGGTAGAAAGAGTTCAATCGGGACTCTTAGGGCGATGTAAGCTCCTGAAACCTAGTTGGATTCGAAAATATTCCAGGTAATCTCATACCTATAACTAGGGATAGCTCATACTACAAGTACGTAATCTATACCCAAACCAACTACCTACCTAAACTTTCTAGCAACCCTTTTACTGACTTAAGCATCGGAGTGTCTACTCTCGGGAGACCCTGAGGCCCTGTTTTGCAGCAAACCCTAAACGGAGTTCCACCACTAAACCGGCGGCACATATCCAACCATCATCAAGTGGCATGCCCAGTGGGACCCGAAAATTAGGGTTTGTGTCACAGAAACCTTTTCAGGTTTCCTTAACACCTTTCCATACAAATTAGGGTTGCCGGAATAATCAATACGATGGTCAGAGTTGAAGAAGACGCCGGCAGCACAGCATCCTCCGGCCACTAGCATAGCCTAGGAGACGACACCCCTCTAGCCGAGTTCCAACGCCAGCAAGAAAAGAGGAAGACAGGAAAGAGCCACGGTGGAAAACCAGGGAAAGAACCAACAAAAGAGCGTTTGGTTCTTGGTACTTCTCACCCCGATCCGGAAAAACAAAACAAAACCAATCTTCCACCTGAAAAAGAGGATATACCTCCTCCTCGAATACCCCTGCTGCCACCAAGCGTTTTGGAGGATCAGAAATTAGCTAGAGATCGAGGCCGAACTCAAGAAGTTAGGCGATGATGGCGATCAACAACAGAGGATGCGGAGATATGTTCTCGAAGAAACCAGGCGGCGTTGTCTCCTTGGACAACCCGACCCCACAGAACAAGAGTTGGAAGATTTGATCGACGAAAGAGAAGCTCGCAGAACCCTAGCCCTTCTCGAGAAGAAACGGGGCAAGCGGATAGTCCAAGAGCAGGAAAATTACCAAGAAATCGAGGGGTACGAAAACCCCCACGGGGAACGCTCGTACGCTACCAGAGATACCATATTTTGGAACGCTTTCAAAGAAAGATACCCAGCATTCGATACCGCTCTCGAGGAATTCGACGCAATATACCAACGTAGGGACACTCGGGAGAATCACGACCCCCCGAGTGTAGAGGTCGTTGAAGGAGAACAAGGAAACCCCCCAAGGCGAACTAACGCACATAATCGCTTAGAATTCAATTGGAATCGGAGAAGCCCACGATGAGATGAGTACAGACATGGTTACGAACCACACCAAGGCCACAACAATATCGAGGACAACTATGACCAAGAATACCATCACCATCCTCGATATTCGCCTCCAAGACATCAGCAGCATAATCGACATAGAGAAAATCCTCCATATTTCCAGGGAGATCAGCAAGGAACAAGAGACCAGAATACCTTGATCCGAGAGGAAATGAGAAAGATCATTGGGATAGGGCTAGACCGGAGCCCCTTCATCCTCAGCATTCGAGATGAACCTAAGCCCCGAGACTTCGACTTTCCTAAAGAATTCAAACCATATTCAGAAGATACCGATGTCTCCCAATGGCTACAAGGGTATGTCCAAGTCATGAGAATCCGAAACACAACCATGAACTTCATGGCAAAGGCGTTACCCTCCTACTTATCCGGGTCAGCACAGCGATGGTTTGGGCAATTACCAGAAGGAAGTATCACTAGTTTTGAAGATTTGTCCGTCAAACTAGCTACTCGATTCTTCTAGAGCAAACGGATATCGCGGATGTCCATCGACCTTTCCTCAGTCAGGTAAGGACAGCATGAGAGTCTAACCGACTTTCACAGACGGTTCATACAAGAAATCTTGCAGGTCGACAACATCGATGATCGAGATGTTCGCAACGGATTCATCCAAGGCCTTAACCCCTTCGGGAAATCCTCAATGTTGCTAGTTAAACTCTCGACCAAACCCCCTAGGAATGCTCAAGAGATGTGGGTCATCGTCGAGCACCACATACAACGAGAACACACACTCAAGAGGTCCCAAAAATCCTTCGCCTTGGTAGGACCGAAGGATAAGCCAAGAACCCCCCAGGAAAACAAACCGGCACTGCCCAAGATGGATACGCAATTAACACCCTTAACCAAGCTCCAACGAGAAATCCTCCAGATCCATAGGGACGAATTGCCAGCTCCGAAACCCTTGGCACCTAATCCAAACAGATCAACTGAACAATATTGTGAGTATCACAAAGATCACGGCCACGACACGGAAGATTGTCGAGAGCTTAAGCGTGAAATCGAGAATGGGGTCAAGTCTGGGAAGTTTCAGCAATATGTGCAAGGAACAGCCTCCCGACAGAAGAATAACAGACCCCAGTCACGAGATCACCCTAAAAGAAACTTCAGAGGCCCACCACGGCGGGATGGACGAGGAAATAATTGGCAATCGAGAGCCAATGTCCAACAACAACACTATCCCATCAGAAGCAGCACCACAGCCACTGCAATAACTCCCCCCGGCGGATCCAACGAAGCTAATCACTCACCAGGTAGGAGCTATTTACGGAGCTCCCCTCGAAGTCTTATCCACTACAGCCATGAAGAACTCATTGTGAACCGTCACCAAAACTCCTCGACAAGAGCCTAGCCACAAAAGGTTCAAAGGAACGGAGGCCATCGTATTCACAGATAGCGATGTGGTCCCAGACATTTGTCCCCACAGTGAGGCTATGGTCATAGAAGCAATAATCGCAAACGTAAAGGTCGGAAGGGTTTACATGGATAATGGCAGTGCGGTCGACATCATATATAGTGATTGCTTCAAGAAAATGAATATCAAAAACGCTTGTATCCGCCCAGCTACAATGCCACTGATGGGATTCTCAGGTCACACCATTGTCCCCATAGGAATAATTAGCTTACCCATCTCGGTAGGGTCGCATCCTAGGATGGTCACCTTAACCATGGATTTCGCCCTAATAGATGCGCCCTCGCCGTTCAGCGTGATCCTAGGGCGACCCTAGATGTGCCAGGCATGCGCAATATGGTCTCCCTATGACTTGGTAATGAAATTCCCAACGGAATATGGAGTGGGAGTAGTGAAAGGATGCCAGCGGAGCTCTCGAGAGTGCTTGCTCACTGCAGTTAGAATCGGAAAGAAGATCGAACACCTTAACCCAGGCTCCACCGTGTCAGAATGCTACTCAATTTGACAAACGGTCAACCCACCAGAGGTGGAAAATCCCGAGATCTCCAGCCTTCCCTCGTTCAGCAGCAAGACGCAGGAATTAATCCTGAGTGAGACTGATCCCACCGTTCAAATTGGGGTTTCTCTCCAAGACCCGTTGCTGGCCGAGATCAGTGCCTTGCTGCGTGAGTTCCATGACATATTCGCCCCCAGTGGATATGACAGGAGTCCCTCGGGAAGTCATGCAACATAGGCTAAATGTTGATCCAAATGTCAAACCAGTGCAACAGAAGAAAAGAGTATTTGCTCGAGAACGTAACGATGTCATCAACGAGGAAACAATGAAGCTAGTCCGTGCCAACATACTCCGAGAAGTCCTATGACCTACTTGGTTAGCCAACCCGGTCTTAGTACGAAAACCTGACAACTCTTGGCGTATGTGCCAAGACTACACCGACCTCAACAAACATTGCCCCAAGGACTGCTACCCTCTACCAGTCATAGACCAAATGGTGGAAGGCATTGCCGGATACAGAGTCCTCAGCTTCCTTGACACATACAAGGGATATCATCAAATCCTCATGGCACAGGAAGATGCAGAAAAGACAGCTTACATCACCGAGATAGGGGTATATTGCTACGACAAGATGCCCTTTGGACTGAAAAATGCTGGAGCCACATACCAGCGTCTCGTAAACAGAACCTTTCATGACCAAATCGGCCGGAACATCAAGATTTACGTAGACGACATGGTGATAAAGACCAATAAGGATAAGCAAGTGGCCGTAGATATGCGGGAGATTTTCACAATATTACGCAAGATTAACATGAAGCTGAATCCGAAAAAATGCACCTTTTGCGTAGGGTCAGGGAAATTCCTAGGATACCAAGTCAAGGAAGTTCAAAAACTCATAGGCTCCTTGGCGGCCTTGAACAGGTTTCTGTCTTGAGCCGCAGAGAGAAGCCTTCCATTTTTCCATACCCTCTGCAAGGGCAGAAAATTCGAGTGGAATAAAGAATGCTAGAAAGCCTTCCAAGACCTAAAAGAGCACCTCAAGCAGTTGCCCACACTAGCCAAGCCCGAACCAGGAGAAACACTATACATTTACCTGGCGGCTCGAGAGAAAGCCGTCTCGGTAGTGCTCGTGCAGCGCAAAGACGTCAGAGAAGTCCCCGTCTATTTTGTTAGCAAAGTCTTGCAAGGAGCGGAAACCCGTTACACACCCATGGAAAGGCTTATCCTCAGCCTAGTCTTAGCTGCACAACGTCTGCGCCCATACTTTCAAGCACACCCCATCATGGTTTTAACGGAATAACCAATTCAGCAAGTCCTACTAAAGCCAGAGGCGTCCAGCAGGATGATGAAATGGGCAGTCGAATTGGGCGAGCACCACATTGAATACAAGCCTCGATCAGCCATCAAAGGACAAGCCTGTGCAGATTTCTTAGTAGAAACGCCTCGAGCTATCTAAGTCAAGGAAATGGCGGAGCCTAAAGATGATCCAACTACTCGCGTCGACATCAACCCTCGAGCCTGGTCACTATACAT